TACAAATATTAACAAAAAAAAAAAACCCAAAAAAACAGTATTCCAACCTTCCTAATCACTGTCTTCTGGCAAATTCCCTAAAGAAAAAAAAAAAAAAAAAGAAAATTCCTCCGTCAAAATAAAAAAAAAAAATATGTAGCGAGAGATAAAGATAGAAAAGAAACGGTAAACAGAAAGAAAGTTTACTCTGCAGATGGGATATAAAGCACCAAGTGACCTCAGTTTATATGCCTGCTTGTTGTCGACCGTAAAGACCTAGTGATTTATTTGAGGACATTTCTTAACGGGGGCTTTTCGTGTTTACCTTCATTATTCTTATGTGCATTTTACTGTTTTAAACCCTCATTGGTCTGTATGCATAAAACTGCATATGTTGGTGGAATGATTTTTGTTAAAGAAATATGGTTTCGTTGCAATTGAAATATAACATTCAAACCCCCATATATTCTCGTTCAAGCAAAGAACTGTGAATATACACGTAGCTAACTCAAGAAGTCGTAAATCTCACGAGTTAAAAAAATATTTTATACAAATGGGACCATTTTTCCCTTCATAAGTAGATGTGGTTCTAACGTTCAGAATAGATTTCTTGATCTTACTTTTTCCAATAACATGAAGGGTATGGTAGCATTGAGTCATTAACAGTGTCGGCTGGTAGGAAATTTGATTCATTGAGCCAGAGAATTCTTCACAACAGAGCCCATCTTCCACGTTTAAAAATCTATTACTCGTGTGTGCATTGAAAACTGCTGCCATATCTGGTCTAGTGAACCTTTTATATATTTAGAGATTCTTGATAAAATCCAAAGAAAAATCTGCAATGATATTGGTCCTGACCATACATCTCACCGTCAGTCTCAACGTCGTACGGTAGCTTCTCTGTGTATTTTCTATATATAATTTCATGGTATTTTTTTCTGATGACATTTAGTCTATGTTACCTAGACTTCATGAATTTAAGCGTAGTCATAGAATGATGACAAGATCTCATCATTTTACAAATTCAATTAATTGATGTAACCGTAAGTTCTATGTTAACAGTTTCTTCTCTGGGACTTCTCCTTGTGGAACTTTCTTCTGCCTTTTTACGATCTTCAAAAATTTAAATGCATTTGACTGTTTACTGAAAACTACTGGCACATCTGGTCTAATGGTCCTGCTATACATCTCTAGATTCTCAACAAAATCCAAAGACAAACCTGCAATTTTATCGGTCCTCACCTGGTTTCTCGACTTCAGCCCCTTTCCACAGGTATGACGTGTCTTCCTCTGACTTTTCTATAAATATTTTATGGTAATTTTTCTAATGGACTCTCCGCCTTGGTTCCTTGACCATATTAATTTAAGAGTACTATGCGATTAGCAAATAAGACTCATCGTATTGCTATTGAAAAAGTGAGATAAAACCATAAGTTCTATAGCAATAGTGTCTTCTCTCACACACCGAGTACCCTCTTGTATCTTAGTCGCATTATCGCTTTCTACAGGGTGAATTGATTAATCTATATATATATCAGTATCAATACATATCAATATAAATATATATATATATATATATATATATATATATATATATATATATATATATATATATATAGTATATATATATATATATATATATATATATATATATATATATATATATATATATATATATATAGTTGTATATATATAAATGAAATAATAAAACGAAATAATAATAATATACAACCCAGTGTGTCTGAATATTTTAATCTTTTTTAATATCTTTTATTGTTCAAAACAAATATATATATATGGGGAGTATGACCCGAAACTCCCTGATGAACCAAATCAAAAACATCACTGACGACCCTTGGGTGCCTACTATTTAAATATATATATATATATATATATATATATATATATATATATATATATATATATATATATATATATGTGTGTGTGTGTGTGTGTGTGTGTGTGTGTGTGTGTGTGTGTGCATATATATATATATATATATATATATATATATATATATATATATATATAATTATTTATATATTATATGCGCAGTACTTATTAGAAAGCGCTCAATATCAGAGATAGAGCTAATATTTGGTTGGATTGATGTGAGTTTGTGGAACTCAAGGTCACAAACTCACATCATCAACCAAATATATATATATATATATATATATATATATATATATATATATATATATATATATATATATATATGTATGTATGTATGTATGTATGTAAGAGGGTAGAATCCAGGTAGAGGTCAATGTTCAAAACAGAGCAAAAATATAATATAAAAGGCTCAAACACTTATCTCCCATGGTTAAAATTATTCTTATTTTGGAATCGTAATCACGACCTACGAATTAAAAAAGAAAAACAGAAAATATAATATAGGTTTTATTTAGCGTTTTCTTTTTGAAAGGTCTGATGAATTGGATTGTGATTAAGATACCAATGTAATAAATTATAACCATGGAATATTAGTGTTTGATCTTTATATATATATATATATATATATATATATATATATATATATATATATATATATCGTACAAATATTGATCACTACGAACAAGTGTTTTCTTTTCTGGACACAGAGTGTGTAGAAACTCTCGAAATTTCCAGTAATCCGAGCACTTTCGTCTATACGAAAGATGATATTTTTCTTACCTTTTAACTGAGTGTATAGGTTGTGTGTATGTATCTAGTGTTATAGGGATATATTATTTTTCGAACACAGTCAGCTCATGTGTTCGTAATTATTGAGTGTTAGCTTTTTCTTTTTTATTATTAAGGCTTCCATTATTTTTTACATGTGAAAGAGGTTATTATGCTCGTATTTCCACCAGTATGTTTCGGATGGGGTCTGGAAGTTTGTTTGTGTGTTTAAATGGGTTCTAATATAACTGTGGCCGGATAGGTGTAACTTGTATTATTTACATTTTTCGGACTGTTATCTTCATCTCCATTGCCATAATCACGACGTTACTGCCGTTGTACGCTCCGGCTTTCTTCAGGTGATTGGAATTTTGAATTTCTTCAAGAACACATGACCCACTGGATAAAGACGCTGGTTAGATCCTGTGACTAGACCCAAAGAGATCTGAGTTTAATATTCAAGGACACAGAAATGAGGAACCAAATCTTGGAGAATTGAGTTAAAGGGGAATAACTGTGAGATGCAGAAAAGGCATGGCGTGTTGAACTAGAACAATCTTCCCCGGTGGACGAAATGAAGGGTTCAGTTAGAAATTCCAATGACATGTAGAAGGCCAGAGTATGCAACTACCGAAACCTTGTGAATATGGCAATAAAAATGAGGATAACAGTCCTAAAGTAATTACTGTAAGTAATCATAATACCTCATCTCAGAGATATAGACAGATACTAACTTCACACGTAGCTATCAATCTACCTCAGTATATTCATATCTATCTATCTATCTATCTATTTCAGTTTTAATATCTATCTCAGTTCATTATCTATTTCCGTCTGTTTTTTCTATCCATCCCAGTCTGTTCATATCTATCTATCTCAGTCTGTTTGTACCTGTCTATTTCAGTCTAATCATATCTATCTATCTATCTATCTATCTATCTATCTATCTATCTATCTATCTATTTCAATCTCCTAGGAATAGGCGCATTTATTATATTCTAGTTGATGCCTTTCATGTCCGTCATGAATTAATGACTTCAAAATATGGCTTCCGCCAGAACTAACCCGTCAGACGCATAAATCTTCTCATACGATGCAATGGGATTTTTTTTCTTCCAGCATGTTCCATATTGGCTTCCCTATAAAGTTGGCCTTGTGTCACACTTGATTTCCTTCAATAAGTCGCTATACCTATTTGTCTTATCCTTTTTGTCATACTACATTCATTCACTAACGTCCACTTACGCGTTTTTGTTTTTCCCTGCTTGTTATTCGTTTCCGAGTTGTTTGCTACGTCTTTTTGTATTCCCCATCGGATTTCTTTCTGCTTTGGTTACTTTTCCGTTATTTACTCTCTTTCTACAGTTTAACTTTCGGTGACTTTCTTTCTGTATTTTGTTTTGTTTTTCGTCTTGAACATTGTTAACGTTCTTTCTAGGTGCTGTCACCAACGTACTTTCTCGGAGATGTTGTCAGACGTTTTGCTCTTGTTTTTGTTTGCATTTAACCATTTTCAGGGTGACAGAAAAAAGAAGAAGAAGAAGAAGAAGAAGAAGAAGAAGAAGAAGAAGAAGAAGAAGAAAGCAAAGTCAGTGAGGTGAAGGCAAGTATAGGCGGGGATATAATGAGAGAAAAAGTCAAAAGAGACACAAAAACTTTAGGATCTGTTTTTATACATTTATGTCAGTCTGTTTCGAACTATCACTATATATATATGTATCTAGGTACCTGTCTCAATGTATTTCTATTTGTCTGTCTGTCTGTTTATCTATCTATCTATGTTTATATCTATCTCAATGTATTTCTTAACTATCTATCTAGTATAAATAGTTGCAATACCTCTTTTCAGAAATATCAACAGAAATATCAATTTTGCTTTCGTTAAAAATAATAAAATGATAAGTCCTAGTCGGGTTGCTCTGACCAGTACAATCAAAAAAATATGGCTTATCAACCCTTTTGCAGGTTATTTAAAGCCAGAAAGTAGTCATATATTATAATAATGATAATTTTCTTTAGATAATAATGTTTTACTGATACAATTCTTCCTATTTTTAACCCACATCAAAGAAGAGGTGAATACATATCTTCCCAAGGATATTTTCGCGTAACTTGATATAATGAACCCGACTGGAATTGGAATTTACACCACCCGCACATCCAAGCATGCATCACCTGTTATTCCCAAGCTATCCATCTAGGAAGATCAGATGAGAACCGGGGCATTGCAAAAAATTAAATAGTGGCTGGAGATAAGGATGTGTGACTGTTTTTTCTGTTTTTAAGATCTTAGAGAGAGAGAGAGAGGGGAGGGGAGAGAATGAGAAAGATAGATCGTGAGTGACTGCGAGAGATGCTTAAGGTAAGAGTGAGGACAGTGAGTGAGCGTGAGTGAGTGAGTGAGTGAGAGAGAAACTGGGGATGAGAGTGAGAGTGAGCAATAGAGATTCAGTGAATGAGATAGAGTGAGAGAGAGTGTGTGACAAAAGGGGTTTGTGAGAGAGAAATGCTGAGTGTGAGAGTGAGATAGTGTGGGAGTGAGAGAGACTGAGTGAAAGATAGAGAGAGACTGATTGTAAGAGGGATAGTGATAGAGAATGAGAGTGAATCAGAGTGAGTGAATGTGTGTAAGAGCGAGAGAGGAGGACTGGGCGTGAGAATAGCAGAGAGAGTGAGAGTGAATGAGAGAGAGAAACTGAGAGTGGGAGAGATTGAGAGAGAGTGCGAGCGTGTGAGTGAGTATGAGAGAGTGGCTAGTGATGAGAGTGAGAGAGTGCGAATGAGACAGTGATAGTGAGTGAGTTAGATAGAGCAAGTGAGAGAGATGACGAGAGAGAGAGAGGGAGAAAGAGAAATGAATGAGATTTCAGTAAGAGAGGATAAAGATAGACACGTGGAAGTGAAACGAGAAAGATACAGAAAGGAAGTGAGTAAAAAAGAAGGGTGAAAAAAAAAGAAAAAAGAGAGGAGGAAGCAGACTGAAAGAGACGAAAGAAAAGTATGAAAGAGAGATGAAGAAGTTTCAGACGATGCACCTTTTAGACTTCTTCAGGTGTCGTCGTTACTTAGGATTTTCGAAGCGAAATCTCAATTCCTGCTTGCTTAATGAGGAGATATGATATTAATTACTAAATTATGTTTAATTCTTATTCAATTAGTCGTGCAACATGTAGGAGATAAATTCGGAAAATAAGTCAATACATAAATAAACAAACAAAAGTACAACTTACTTGAAGTGCACTGTAAATTATTGGTACGACCACCACCCAGACCCGGTCACAGATATGACTTGTAACAATTTTATGCGACTTTACAATACACACAGACAGAACAATCAAAACTAAACTCCCAGACATCAAAGATCAAAGACAACAAAAATGGAATGCGTTTTCTTATTGAGATGGCAGTTCCTGTAGACAGCAATGTAGCTTTGAAGATCTTCAAATAGCTCTCAAAATACAAAGATCTTGATACTGAAATCTCAAGAATGTGGCACACGAAGATATCAATATTTTCAGTCACAGTTATCTCCCCTTGCGTTTGATTGTGAGAGATTCTGATTGGCTTATTGAAGTAATCGCTGGCAGACCATGTCTTAAGGAAATACAAAAAAATTATTCTCACGATCCACGAATGGCTTTACTTACGTAAAATGTGCATGCCTTTGTAAAATTCCTTTAAAAAATGTGCTAGGAAACAAAACATAATTCTATTTTAGACATTCGTTTTCTCGTTGGGACCCGGGAGAAAAGGCGTATACAGCAGAAATCAATAATAATAATAATTATTATTATTCCTTTGATTTCTGTTGTGTACTCTTTCGGGTCCCGCCCAGATACCTAAGATCAGAAATGGCATCACGATATTTTGCACTGACCAATTAAAAAAAAATACATCAATAAAGCCCTTCCCTTGTGGGTACATTTTTTTTTTTGTATTTCTTTAAGGCGTGGGTTACAAGGAATCCCTTCAATGAGTCTACTGGAATCTTTTCAACCAATCGGAGGGCTCCAATTACAATTGGTATTGTTAATGTCCTCATATGCCATAATTTTGATTTCAAGGTCCTTGTATTTTGATAGATTTTGGAAGGTCTTCAAAGATATGTTACAGTCTACAATGACTGCCATGTCAATAAGAAGGCAAATTTTGTCTTTATTCCCACAAAACAAAACAAAAAAAAATATTCATGTCTTAGTCTCACCGATTTCAATGTATGTTTAGACCTAACGATCGGAAAATTACTATTTGAAAGTGACAATCAAAGATAACTAAAAATGAAGTTGAAAAAATACGCTGAAAAATTAATAATATTTTTTTTCAGCGAGGTACACCACTTACACGGCCCGAGAGCCAGTTGAAAAAGAGTGGAAGACAACTGTTTAACCTAGCCTTGAGAAGGTTAAGATTGTAGTGGTCAGGGAAACATGCTGCTGGTGTTGGTTCCCCAGGGCAGTGATGTGCAGGAAGAAGCTGCTCAAGTGGAACTTTCTTCTCACCGATAAGATACGGGGGGAATGCAGGTGGTTTGCTAATATGTAAGTGGCATGGCGTGTTATCACTGGATCAGGGAATGTAGTTCGTCCGAGCACTTTCTGTGTGGGAGAGCTTTGAAAAGGTGGAGAATAGTTCGTCACCAACAAGTACTCGAAGACGCTTTTGAACACTATCAAGGCTGGAGAATGCGGTCTGGTCAGCTCCCGCCTAAATATGACTACATTACGCCATTTTCGGTCTGATCTAGCTCTTGTAAAGGTAGATATCTCGTACTTACTGTAGCGGTACAGGGAGCCGACCATTTTACCGGCATCCTTAGGAATAGATCGTATGTACGAGTTCCACTTGGTGTCATATGTGAGTTTGATACCCTACAGTCTTCCGAGGTACGTTTAAGAAATACAAGTGAGAGATAGAGAGAATACATTACTTTCCGGGAGAGATAGATAGAGAGTGATTAAGTGTGAAAGAGGGAGAGCGAAGAGGTGGGGGAGAATTAATTTCACCGAGAGAGAGAGACAGAAAGAGAGAGTTTTTCACCCATAGTGAGAGAAAGTGAGAGAGAATGACTTTTTACCCAGAGACAGAGGAAATCTTTTCGCTCAGAGAGAGAAAGAGAGAGAGAGGAGAGGGGAGAAAGTGGGAGAGAGAAAGAGAGAGAGGGGGGAGAGGAGAGAAAGTGGGAGAGAGAAAGACTTTTTTTTAACTATAGATAGAGAAAAAAGGGTTTTTAACTCATAGATACAGAGAGAGAAATCTTTTCATCCAGTCAGAGAAAGGGGGAGAAAGTATTTGTGTGTGTGTGTGTGTAAAAGAGAGAGAAAGAGAGACAAAGAGACAGAGTGTGAGAGAGAGGGGACTTTTTTCTCAGAGACAGAGTAAAAGTTTTTTCACACAATCACAAATAATTCATTTCGTCCGGAGAGATGTCAGAGGGAAGAGAGTTTTTTTTTCTCTCAGAGTTCCGTTTAATAATTACGAAAATTAAAGTTTTAAAAACTAACAACTTAGATTTTAAATGATACGCTTCAAAAAATAATAATAATCGATCTCTTAGTATTTTATATTTTCTTATCAGACTTATAAAATACACCTAAACCTGCCACAAATATCAAACAACATGAACATATTCCTATATGATACAAGGTAAAAAAAAAAAAACTAAAGTCATCTGATGAACTGCTTTCTTTTTTTGTTTTTTTTTGTTTTTGTTTTAAATTGATGTTTTGTTTATTTCTATTTTTTGTTTATTTCTGTCTTTTGTTTACTTCAGTTTTTTTTTTTTTTTTTTTTTTACCCCATACGTCATGTGACTGCAATGTCGCTTCTTGTTTGACATGAACCTCTGGGTTTGTGTTATGGGTAACCAAAGATTCCAAATTGGTGGCCCGGATGGTAGGTTGTTAATTTGGGTTGACTGAATAGACAGGTAGTGCTAGGAAAGGTGTGTTCGAATGTCAAACATGCGGGTGGCAGCCGTCAAGAGGAGTTCTTTCTTATGGCGTTTCTAACAGAAGAAGCTTTTATTCATGGACAAAAAGAAAAAAAATATGAGAAAACAAAACGAAATAAATAAAACAAAATTAGAGACAAAAACAAAATGCTACACACACAAAAAGCAAAAAGTATTTTTATAAGGTCGGGGTTTGTTAAAAGATAATAAAAAATATTATAGACTGAATATCTACCCGACTTGCATACTTGCATCAAGTCGAGGACAAAGGGTAAGAGTATCTATTAAACACGACTTCTTTTATGACCTTTCAATAAGTGTGTGATAATGGCCTTTCCCAACATCCTATCATAAGTTACTTGAAGTCTCGTTTGTTTTGTTACCATCGATCATTGTTCTTGTTCTGTAATTCATTCCATCGATTCTGTCAAACTCAAAAACGAAACTGGTCTCTTTTAATCATCTAAGAGAATTCTTTATGCTTTCAATCTTCATGACTGATACTAACCTCCAAGAGAGTAACTTATTACGCATTCTTAGACTAACGTTTTCAGCTGTTATGAAGTGGAAGGAGTATATTGAATCATTTCCTAAGATTACGAAGAAAGTTGGTTCACCATGTCAGTTCAGACAAGTTATATCACCAAAATCTATCATATTTTTTTAATCATTTCATCCCAAGCAAGGCGGGAGTTCCACTAATACTCATGAGCTTACAGAGAGTGAAATTGAGAGAAAATATACGGAATAGGAATTATTGCTGAAAAGACAAAAGAGGAACGGGATTGGAGAAGAAATAAGATGGCAATTAGCGTTGCATTCAATTTTTTTTTAATTGTAGTTATCAGGAAGCAAAGGAACGGAAGGGACTTCTTCAGACTGGAAGTGCGAGAAAAAACTGTTCGCGTAGAAATGGCGGTTGCATTTAACTATGTGAACAGTAAAAAGTACCTAGATGCTAGTCTAGTAGCACGCTTAAATGCATGTCGTCTGAGCATTAGTGGGGAAAAAGTTCGTCACAGCAGTTGCTATGAAAATATTTGAAGAAAAGATAACGTGAAGCCACATAATGTCTGTGGGAAGGTGACTGAAGTCAAGATGCCAAGAATCGATTACATTTTGGGGATTTTGTCAAGAACATCAACAGTATTCAATGCACGGACGAATGGTAGAGTTTTAAATGTGGAAGATCGACTCTGACGATAAAAACCTTCTGGCATGACACAGTGAACCAATTTTCCTTGCATAGATGCAGCTATTGATTCAATGTATTCGTTCCAAGTCAGTTGAAAAAGTGAGTACTCCAGATACGCCAGATAAGTCGAGTGTTCAGTTGGATGAGAATTCACGAGAAAAGCATTCAATCTTATCTGCTGTAGATATCAGGACTTCGAATTGATTGAATAGAAGAAGTATTGAGGATTTGCTGCTCTTCACCACACTCTTGCAGTGTTGCCAATAATCTCTAGCACCGAACTTGCGAGATGCTGTATGTTGTTTCATACTATCAGAAAACAGTATCGTCGTCTTATTGAGAAACGCTTGCAATCGTTACGAGCATAGACCAAGAAGCGTCTGTTGCAATCAGTTGTTTCGCTCTAGTACAACCGGAAGAGGTTATTCCGATGGGATGAAACGGCCGAGCATGCAGGTAAGAACCAAGGAGATAAATGCGGTTTAACTTGCTGGGATGAAAGCATCGATGCCGGCTTTCACCTAGGAGGAGACATCAAATGCGCATTTTTGAACAGGATGATTAAAACTTCATTCCAAGGGACGGCACGAAGGAAATCACGAAACGATTGCCAATCCATTTGTTGATGACAGAAAAATATTCTATTGGGAGGGGATTCTTGGCTTGTAGAGGATGTGGAAATAGATGCTTACAGACACTACCGCATGATTAGATTTGCCAAGAGGGAAGAGTTGCATAGTAGGACATGAACCATGGATAGAAGCGTGTCCGTCAGGGTTACTGGGGAAACGAGTGGGGAAGTCCACCAACTGCGTGCGAGATTGAGTGATTGAAACGTTCTGAGTTTGGATGTCTGCGAGCTCAGTGACTGAGTACATAATCCACATGGCATGTTGGGCATTAAAGTGACCGAGCACAAATATATTTGAAATCGGGTTTACATATTTATCATTGATTTGAAAATTGATGCCACATCTGGTCTGGCACTTCTGCGATATATTTAAAGATTCTTGATAAAATCCAAAGAAGAATCTGCAATATCATTGGTCCTGACCTGGCATTTCTCCTTCAGTCCCTTATCTACCATCATAAAGAAGCTTCCCCGTACCTTTTCTATAAATACATTCACGGTAATTGTTCTGCTAAACTTTCCTTTGTGGTACCTATGTATTTAAGGGCAGGGATAGATTGGCAAGGTCTCATAAATTTACAGCTGAAATGGTTGGATGTAACCTTGAGTTCTATCCTAAAAGTTCCTTTTTTGCGCTTTTCGCTTATGAAAATCTCTTCCGGCTTCTTGCTTTCCAATCAACTTTGATCTTCAAAAATTTAAATGGTATGTCAAACGTTATCTTTTGTCTTCTTAATTCTTGTTATTTTTTCTTTTTCTTCCTTTTTCTTATATTCTTTCATACTCTACAACCCCCTGGGTCTTAGTGGCTTTGTTGCCTTGCTTGTTATGATATTATTAATACATACATACATACATACATACATATATATATATATATATATATATATATATATATATATATGCATCAAAATCAATCAACCAACACTGACCAAAATTAATTACGAGTAAACTAGTAATGTTTTAAAAGGCATTTGATTTTTTTATATACTGTCTCTGGTTACGCCTTTGCATTGTGAACGCTTGTTTACAAAACATCGTAGCTTCGTCGGTCAGTTTTAAAATAATCATAACTGAGCACGTTCACGCGTGTTTATAAAAATCAAGATCACAACGATTACAGTTACATTAAGTTTGTCTTCTCAATTCAAACCTGAAGATGATCCCGGGAGAGATCGAAAGTACTTGTGTTCAAAAAATAATACGGCAATTTCTTTGATGAATTTCAACTTACTATCAAGAACTTAATTAGAGAACTACAAAGGATTTTTTTTTAAAAATAGACATAATATATCTATATTATTTAATTAAACATGCTTGAATGTAAATATACTGCCAATATATATATATATATATATATATATATATATATATATATATATATAATAAAGAAAGAGAGACAGAGAGAGAAAGAGAGAATGAGTAGCGTCCAAAATTAAGCAACAAAAATGAAAACTTCCATATCTCAAAAAATATAAGTGCAATTTTTTAAGGTTAAGATAAAGATTGCTTATCATCACGACTTCATTTTCCAGCATGGCGAATCGACGAAAAGTTGATAACACTCTAAGAGTTGATGATGCCAAACTGCGAAAGGAAAATCACGCAAGTGACCAGATTACTGAACACGTGAATCGTTCCAAAAACGTTGTGAGCCGAATTCTGAAACTGTACGAAGACACAGGTCTCTTAACCATTTCAAAGGTGAGTAGACCAAGAAAAAAAAAACGGCCAGATGAGACAGGATTGTTCAATGCTTAGCACTGAATGACCGTTTTTAATTGTGTCTAGATGCAAGCATGAAATAGGGTTTTATAGCAGGTGTTCACAGAAGAAGCCTTATATCAGAAAATGAACAAGGCAGCCAGACTGAAGTTTGCAAACAAGCACGAGTTGTGGTCGGAAGCGTATTTTTCAGTGATGGAAGTTAATTTAATGTATTTGGTTCTGATGGAAAACAGACAAATTGGCGAATGGGTGACTCGCAGTTTTATGCACAACGCAATCTTCAGTTGCTGGCATTTACATAATTTGAAATTTAATAAAAATAGCCTAATAAATATAATAAAGTAATTGAAATGTTTTTATTAATATTTAAATTATGTAACGGCCAGTCTCTACTCAAATCACTCCAATAAAATTATTTTTATTGCTTTATTATTTTTATTAAAATTTAAATTATGTAGCGGTCAGCCTCTACTCAGCACCTGAAGACTGCGTTGTGCATGAAACTCCAAGTCGTGCTACCGGTGAAAAAAAACTGTATATTTATTAATATTTACTTTTAATCGTTCCGTAATTGCATCGAGCACTATTTTATTAACAGCATATTAACACACACACACACACACACACACACACACATATATTACCATTTATTTTAGTATATTAAAAATCGCTACACAGTTATAATTATGTTTCAACATTACAAATGTGTCTCCTCAGGCGATGTTAAACTACAGGCGAGTGAACAATTAATTTAATTTCAAAAGTACAACACTTTTTCACAAACAAACAGAATATTAATAGGCGTGTGGCTTTGCCGTGATTAACCAATTGAATGTGACCTACGCTAACTTTAAATTCACCGATATATTTTTAATATAAATCATGTCACGAAGTTGTCTGCATATAAATCATAGACAATTTCCTTATAAAGTGATACAAGTTGTTACATTCTATTTAGCTCTACTCTGTATTGAGCCCTCTTTTAAATTATATGTTACGTACAGTTCTCATTTAACCTATATATATATATATATATATATATATATATATATGAGACAAAAGTTCATTTTCTCCAACAAAAGACATTCATTTCTGTAGTTCACTGCTAACAGCAAGCAGAAATATTTAATTTCTCCTCCCGATGATGGCCATTTCGGTCGAAACTATTCGAGGAATCTAAATGGAATAATAATAATAAAAAAAACGAAAGAATATTAATCTACAACCCAGTGTGTCTAATGATTTTAATTTTTTAATTTTTTATTTTCTTATTGTTCAAAATATATATATGTAATATACATATATATATTTATTTATATTTATATACATTTATTATACATATATATATTTATTTATATTTATATACACTTTTCACATATATATATATATGAAAAGTGTATATAATATAACAAATATATATTATTATTTATATATAGTACTACAATAACACCAATACACACCAATCTACATAAACCCAAATTCGTACAACATTAATCGTTTGTCTGAGGATCGCTAAAACTGAAATCTATCAACAAAATATATATATATATATATATATATATATATATATATATATATATATATATATATATATATATATATATTATGGTAATGTCTATACTCGACAGTTATGAAAAAACGGATATTACAAGTTGCAAATAAAAATATATTAAAACAAATTGGCATCTGGGGGGAAAATTTTAAAAATCGCCCAGTGTCGTAATTTCTAGTCACAAGAAAAAAAAAAACCCAGTCGAGTAGGTAAGAAAAAACGTAAAGTGCTCAATACACTAAAGAGAGCAGAATATTAACAATCCTTGTGTGCCAGAAACTACCTATCTAGGTTTCACCTAAATGAATCTTCAGGATGAGCCCGCGATCAACATCGTTTGAATCTTTACAATCACAAACAGGGAATTGTAGCAAGTAATAGAAACGACATCGTTTGAAAACTTTCATTAATAGCAAAGGCTAACATGAAAACTAAAATTAAAAACATTAATAAAATAAATAAATGGCTAAAATAAATTAAATTAAAACAATTCAAATAAGCACAGAGGGGAAAAAAGAATAAGAAATCTTGAAAATTTTGAATTTCCTTTCTTCTTCTTTTTAACCTCTTGTTATTTTTAGATAACTGTCTTGACCTGGTTTCATATTTCAGAATTTCTTAATTCTATCGACACTGTTGATTTTTCTTAAGTTAGGGCAAATTGCTTTTTTTTTGCTTTTTTTTTGCAGACTTTAGGAAGGCTTGTATTAAGCACTTACTCATCACCTCTTAATTAATATATTCTTTTTAGATAGGCATAATGCACGACAGCTGCAAGTGTGTGTGCCACCCGAGGCAGTCGTTGAGTCTGATGCCCCCAATACAACACATTCTACAGTGACTAACCTCATAGTCAGATATAAAAGAAAAACGACAATATAACGCGTTAGTTGCTGATATCCCCTGACAAGTGGACGAAGTGATTGCTAGAGGGTTCGTCTACAAAACTCTATTGTCGTGATACTGAATTTAACGCCAGTCAGCTAAGTGACAAGCTTTATATTTTTATTAATTATATATGAATTCAGGACTAGACTGGTTGACAACCAATGGCATAGATCCCTCTCTATCCTACTATTTACCAATACTAACAAAAAAAGACATTTTATACTCTACCAATCTTTAAAATAATTGCAATCTGGGAGCATTTTCTCCTTAAAATTTATCAAATTTATGAGCACAATTTCTCGCTATATATTCGTATGGCTGCAAGAAAAATGGCGGACGCGTTCATGATACCCTTTGTCCAAACCGCCACAAGTTGACATTTGCACGTTACACCGAGCCACAGGTGTATCAATTGACGGTAATGGATAACATTATACCGTGACTAAGACACTGTCCAAGCCGGTATCACGGGTGCCGCTGCTTTCTTTGATGTCACGGCCATCATTTCCGTGAATCTTGGCGCTTATATAAGTTTGAAATACATTAGGTATATAAGAACGTGTTTCTATATAATCGAGCAGCCTTTCACGTTCATACAGAAAAAGGTGTCCTAGCGAACACCCACTCTCTGTCTGTTTGTAGATATATCAAATATATTGACCTGACCTGTCAGTTCTAAGACAGATCATATATATATATATATATATATATATATATATATATATATATATATATATATATATCGGAAGGCACTTACAGACATATATAAATGACGTAAATTTATTTTTTACCTCTCTCTTTTACCCTCTCTCTCTCTCTCTATATATATATATATATATATATATATATATATATACATATATATTTTTGCTATATATATATGTATAAATATATATATATATATATATATATATATATATATATATACTCAAACATATATGTATAATACACTCTCTCCCTCTCTCTCTTTCTTTCTCTCTCTCTCTCTCTCTCTCTATATATATATATATATATATATATATATAGATAGATAGATAGATAGATAGATAGATAGATAGATGCAGTGTGGAGAGTAAAATATTTTAAATTGCCTTCGTGTATTAAACAATTAACATATATGTATGTGTGTGCGTGTCCCTGTGTATTTGTGTCTCTCTGTGTGTATAAGAGTGAAGAAATATTTTGAGCTCGACCCAATAATTATTGCATATTTTCTCACAAACAGATACATATGAACTGCTAATGATAGATAGATAGATAGATAGATAGATAGATAGATAGATAGATAGATAGATAGATCCATAGATCCATACATACATACATAAAAAAGACAGAAAGAAGGAGAAAAGAAACCTGCATAAACATGTATGAAATATATAGATTATGAACAGTCAGCAAATTACATATATGCAACCTAAAAAATCCCGAGATAGAGAGTAAAAAAGAGAAAGCTACACAAAATTCTCTGATAGGTCGATCGATAGATAGAGAAGAGAGAAAGATACTTAAAAATGTCTGAGATAGACAGACTGACAGACAAGATTCATAGATAGAAACATACATAAAAACGTATGAAATATATAGATTTTGAACGGACAGAAAATTACATACATACAACCTAAAAAAAGAGATAGATAGATAGATAGATAGATAGGAACTGACAATAGGTAGCTAGCTAGATTTTACTTGTCCTCAATACACATACTTGTTTACACGTCTTGATACATCTAGAACCTCTCTCTCTTTCTCTCATTCTCTCTCTTACACACACACACACACACGCACATTCTCAAATCAAAGCCTGGATCCACACGAACATATTTCCTTTAAAGTCTGCGCACATAAAAAAAATAAAAGTTAAATATACAAGGTTTGTGATAAAGAAAAAACGCGACAGACATAAGTGTATGAACTGACATTCATTCAGGTAGGCGTGTGCGAACGTAGATATGTGTGGATAGTTTTGTAGATGCCGGCACTATATATCATGTAGTTCATTTCCTTCTCTTTGACACATTGGATATATTATGTGTCTGTTCCTGTCCGCCTCACCCCAACTTGCAAGTTTTTTTTTTCCTTTCCTCCCTCGCCTCCACGAATTTCTGCATATACTTGAATGTACGTATATATATATATATATATATATATATATATATATATGTTTCTGGACTTGAGCGCATTTGTTTCCTTGGTTCGCTTCTTTTATAAAAATAACACTAGTTAAGAATAAATTCTGACAGACAGGCGAGCACGTCCACAGTGAAGTGCGCCCAGTCACATTACACAAGAGAACAATGCATTCACTTTTGAGATAACTTTATGTCATCTACGACGCGAATTCAATGCTGCTCGTTGAGCCAATGTACAGCTAGAGCTCTTAGTGGAAACAGTGCGTACAGATTGTTCGATTCCAATGGATCAATTCTTTTGAAATGACGTCATCGAGAAGCCTAAAATGATGTTGTGCTGAGGTTTTTTCTTTTACGCAAATTTTGCTATATTATAGGGGTTCTCTGCGATATTTCGATGTGGAAAATAAGGAATCCCTATAAAGGTTTACCAGGGTTGAGGTTCAATATTCCTTATCAAATCGCCAAATGAAAGTTATCATGAACTGCCACTCATTTAGATCTTTTTTTATGTTAACGCCGGTGAGACCAAGGGCTTTATACTAGGACCTATTTTGGCCCTATTTTTCATCAGTTTTTTACTAAGTATCTCGGCTCATGATACAAATACTTATTTCTGTTTTAATAATAGATGCGATAAAATAGAAATACAGCTGATCACAGAAATGACATTCCGTATGTTAATTTGAACCCCTCGAAAAGGAAACTGCTCTTTATTAGAACATGTTCTGCTATCCCTTAATATGGCTGATGCCAACCGCCAGTGAAGTATCTCTATCTCTGAAATGAGGTATTATGATTATTTGCATTATTTACATTACTCGAACTGTTTTCCCCATCTTCATTGCCATATTAACAACGTTTAGACCTCTATATCTCTGAGATGAGGTATTATGATTACTTGCATTTTTTACATTACTCGACTGTTATCTTCATCTCCATTGCCATATTCACAACATTGCACGCTCCAGCCTTGTTCAGGTGATTGGAAATTCGAACACATTTCAAGGACACATGATGGTCCAAGGGATAAAGACGTTGGTTAGGTACAATAACTAGACCCAATGAGTTATGAGTTCAATACCAAGCCATACCAGTGGTGTACCAAAAACATGGAGATTTTAGTTAAAGGAAAATAACTGAGACATAATGAAGAGGCATGTCACGTGGAACTAAAACAATCTACCCCGGTGGACGAAATAAGGGGTTCGGTTTCAAATTCCAATCACCTGAAGAAGGCCAGAGCGTACAACGGCCGAAACGTCGTGAATATGGCAATAAAGATGAGAATAAAAGTTCGAATAATGTAAATAATCCAAGTAATCCAGGAGTTTTGGTTTCCCATTTTTCACAGAAATGAATTGGAAAGATTATAATGATTCGATTGCTAGGTCCGCTGCCAGGAAAGTTGGTTTACTGTGCCGTTCTAGATTAGAATCTGCCTTATGTCTTTATAATTCTGACATTCTTCCTTGCATCTGGTCTACTGATTCCTCTATATATTTAAAGATTCTTGATAAAATCCAAAATGTTATTGGTCCTGACCTGGCACGATTTTTAAAAAATTTTATGCCATTGTGTTCCATCTGAAATATAACGCCCACGCAATTCAGCAATACAGGATTCAAAGGTCTAAAAATGTTAAAAGCAATATCAACCATCATCTTCTGCCTCTTTGAAACCTCTCATTGTCCTTAATAATGATTTTTTCGATTCTTTCGCTGTCAATATCCCCTCGCGTCTTAGTGACTATATCGACTTGCTTAGGGTTAAACGATTAAAAAAAAAATTTAATTCAGAGTAGAAGCTAGAGTAATATTTTTCAGTTAACTGATAGATTATACCGGGTTTTAAAAAATGTGAACTTGGTACAAATATTTTCAGTCTACTTCAAAATTTGATCTCCTTCTTTTATATGTCGTGTTATTTCAACATGTTTGAGATCATGTCTCTCCACATCTTCCATCTTAAAAAACACATTTTAAGTAGATTATTCATTTTCTCTTGTTTCTATAGTTTCCACTGCATGAGGTTTTATTCTCGCATTTCCTCATTATATGCCCAAAATCTTTTTGCTTATCTGTTTCTGATTGCTAGCTACATATTGTAGATTTTATTCTAGCTAAAATATGATCTCTTGGACTTTATCTTGTATTCTCAGCATAGATCTACGACTTTGTCAGTTTAAGTCTCTTCTTCATCTGTGAAGCGATTTCAAACATTCACCAGCATAGAGACAATTAGATATCACATTTGTAGTCGACCTTCTTTGTTTCAAAAAGCATTTTCTTATCACTTTTGCTCACTTTCCTAAATGTATCTGATGTTCTTCGTATGAACATATCTTCCCCACAAATCCTCATAAAATCTTTCATCTTACTATATAACCCTCTACCTCGAGTGGCTCTTGAGCCTTGCACAAGGCGAACAGTATTGTAATAGAAAACTTATATGAAATGGAAAGATTATATTGAATTAATTATTACGTCTTCTGATTAGTAATTTTCGTTCACTGTGTCGTGGGAGAAAATTTATTTCTCACCAGAATCCATTTAGCATGTTTATAAATCTACCATTCGTCCGTATATTGAATACTAGCAGCATGGCCCGGCGTTGCCCGTGCTTGATTCAAAAATCGTAAGACTCATACAGCAATCGCTATCACTTGACTTAAAATATTTTTGCCCTTCCTTGCCTTTAAAGGAATGCCCTTTGCCGTGCTGATGTTGCTACATGCCTTACTTCTTGCCTATCTCACACTGCGAATTTTTTCTAAGCTCTATACTAAACATTAAATCTGTTACAAAAAAAGAACTAAACAAAATGAACACAAAACGATCAGCTTTAAAAAAGGACTCGTAACTGGAAAAACCGAATGAAAAAAGAATGTTAACAACAAATACTTTTTCACATGTAACCCAGTTCTTCGGAATCAGAATCAACGTTGAGTTTAAGCAAGCGAATGAGCCAATTGGAGTAAATTGTGACGAATGCAGCTATCGATTTTTTTGCATACTAGCATGCTAGTTAACATTCGTGTCAGTCAGCTGTTGGGTCTCATGCTGGCCAATAAAATCTTCTTCCCTATTCGTGGCAGCCAGCTATTTGACTCTCACTCTGGCCAGTAGAAAATGGTCACAGGCTACACGAAAACTGCCGTTGAAGCATGAAAAAATCGATTATTTCCACTATCGATGGGAGTTGGGAAATGCAAAGTCGTCTTGGCCTTCCCGCTAACCATGAGCATGTGCATGTAAATTTTGGTGCAAATCCGTCGAAAATTGCGGCCGTACATTCGTTACACACCTACACACACACACACACACACACACACACACGCACACATCCTGCCATTTATAGATAGAGATTCACTGTCATATCCGGTCTGGTTCTCCTGCTATATATCTCGAGATGCTTGACAAAATCCAAAAGAAGAAGAATCTGCATTGATATTGTTTCTAGACTGTCATGTCGTTTCAGTCACTTTTCCACCGCCGTAACCTGAGTTTCTTCTGTTTTGTACATATTTTCATGTCAATTACACAATGAAGTTTTTCCTCGAGGTACCTCGACGACATGAATTTCAAAGTAGTACTAAATTGATAATAAGTTCCCGCTGTTTTACTGTTGAAATAGCTAGACGCCGATTGATTGATTGAGTTGTGTGTTTAGCGGCATATCAACTCTTAATGGGTCACTTAATGCCGAAATTTAATTTTCTTGGGAGGTTTGACGTAATATAAAATATATGTTATTCTACTTCCACAGGTGAATACATGGTAGATGATACTCTGCTTTTATGCATATATATATATATATATATATATATATATATATGTATTTGTGTGGACATGATTACTTGTTTGATTACGGCTTGATTTAAGAAATTGTCGGAATGCCGTATAAGTTGGTTGATGGGTAGTTTTTTTTTTTAAACAGATTCGGTTGAAATCACTACAATTTGTTAGTATGAGCGTATTGTCGGTAATTTTATTATATAAAAATCTATTGCTGGTACTTTTACAAATAAAATCTATTTTTATACTGTTATAGTGTTTTGTTTTTGTTTGGGGAGTACCCAGAGTTGGGACCTTAAGAGATGCTATGACTCCGAGTTAGTGTGGACCCGGGAATAAAAGCAATTAAGAGGTGGTTCAGTGTTCCTCAAAACCTCAAATTTCCCGTCCAGACACCTTGCTGCCAGATGTAGTTTATCGTCATGCCCAGGAATAAGTTCTATTCTAATAGTTTTTCAAATTCACTCTCCGTATGTGGAACTTACTCTCGGATTCTTGATTGCCTTTCACCTACGATATTCCAAAATTTAAGTACATTGGCCGTCTCCATCTTCTGCCTTCCTGAAAGCTCTTCTTTTATTGTCCTTTCTCCACACTAAAGTCTTTTCACTATCTTTCACATCCAGTAACCTCTTGCGTCTTAACGGCATTATCTTTATCTTCTGCCTACCTGAAGCCTATTCTTTTATTGTCCTTTTTCTTCACTAAAGTCTTTTCACTATCTTTCACATCCAGTAACCTCTTGCGTCTTAACGGCATTATCTTTATCTTCTGCCTTCCTGAAGCCTATTCTTTTATTGTCCTTTGTCTTCACTAACACTGCTCAACGATTTTATCCACTAGGCTTAGTATATAAAAGCATTGATATGTGAATTTTGTGACGTAATAATGATGAATGCACTCCGTCGGTTGAGCAGTACGTACTTGCTCCCAGTGGAAATGGGTGAGCAATAAGTGAACAGTACTAACTAAAAGTAAGAACTAGAAGATATTGCTAGTAGAATTTAGAAACATTTGGTTACGGAAGATTCGCTAATTTAGTCAAGGTAGGAAAATTCGGTAACTATGAAATAAAAGTAGATTGAAAATTGATTTTAGGGTCGTCCTCGAGTGGCGATTAGGTGGGGCAAAGCTCCCTTCTGATATATTTTTAAATAACTGAAATCATGGGATCCACATAAAACCCCATTACCAGAGCCATACTTCTGGAGGTGTCTACCCTCCATACGTTTAAATAAGTATTAACTAAGCAATCATGGGTTTCATTCCAGATAAAACCCCACTGCAACAATACCAGGACCATGCTTTCTGGATGGGGAGTTTAAGAAACGTGCTATACCCCCCTCTAATATTTTAAAATAAATATTTTTAAGAGTCTGTCTATATTTCTGAGATGAGGTATTATGTACAGTATTTACATTAGTCGGACTATTGTCCTCATCTTTGTCGCCATATTTTTCACAATGTTTCGGCCGTTGTACGTTCCGGCCTTCTTCAGGTGGTTGGAATTTCGAACTGAACCCTTTATTTCGATCACTGGGGACACATGGCACAGTGGATAAAGGCGTTGGTTAGATCTAGTGACAGACCCAAAGAAGGTGAGTTCAATACCCGGTTAAGGCAGTGGAGAACTTTCAGAGGGAAAATTAGCAGGAGATAACTGATAACTGACATCCATCAAACATGGCACGTGGAATTAGAACAGTCTACCCCAGTGATCGAAATAAAGGGTTCAGTTCGAAATTCCAACCTCCTGAAGAAGGCCGGAGCATACAACGGCCGAAACGTTGTGACAAATATGGCGACAAAGATGAGGACAATAGTCCGACTAATGTAAATACTGTAAATATTTTTAAAAAAGTATTTATTTAATTACTATGCCCCATTGTTTTCGAGCAAATAAAATCGATTTATCTAAGTTAAAATTAATTTCTTGTATCTTCTTTTCAAATTATTATTTTAATAAAATGTACTAAATAAAGAAGGGCCCTAAAATCAATTTTTAATCGTCTTTTTTTCATGATTACCTTGTCTAAATTGCCAAATTTTCCGTTACCGAATTCTACAGGCACACTCTTGACATGAGCAGTGGAAAGAGAACATCTACCACCGTAGAATAAATAAAGGATTCAGTTCAGAATTGCCTGTAGGTTACCCAGATCGATATAAACCTGAGGAAGGCCGAAAGGCAAAACAGCCGAGGAGAATCGTCCGAACATAAATAGTGTAAATAATGATAACCCAGAAAATGGAGGGACAGAAAAAAAGTGTATATCTAGAAAATTAAAAATGACAAAGAAAGTTTACTTAGATATGTTTAGATCAAAAATTGACAACACAGATGGGTATGCAACAGACTTAACGTCACGTATTCGAAAATTAGAGAATTACTTGTCGCAGGTGTGTATCTACATATAGAATAAGAGATGTCTACATTTTTACTTAGGCATAACCGAGAGTAATTCTGTTTTCGGTGTCTAGAGAAGTACTTCTGGAATTTGCTGATTGTCTGGAATGTCATCTTCCATTGTGCGGTGATCTGTCAGAGTCGGCAGACAAGGACTCGCTAATGTCGCCATTTGCTTGATTTCACCTTCGGTTTAATCTCAAAGACACACGGTGTTTAAACTTTTTTTTTTTCCCGAACATTTCTCGGATTAACACAAGTCATTTTGATCGAGTGACTTCTACAAGGAACGATTCCAACGTTCGGCAAATTTCAGCGTAAGAAGACGTTAAGTGCGACACTGAGATCCGAAGACGTATTGGGATGGCCAGAGACGCATTCCAAAAGTTAGGCAGAGTATTACGAGACAGGAGATGTTTTGGGTAACAAAGAGAAGAGTACTGAGCTGCTACGTGACATCTGTCCTTCTTTATGGCAGCAAATGTTGGATGAAGAAGAGACTCGAGGCAACAGAGGTATGGTTCTACAGAAGGATGCTAAGTATATTATGGACTGAGCTTGAGAATAACAATGAAGTTTTGGAAAGTATGGAAGTAAGGAGGAAGCTTGATTGAGTATCTGATTCTCCAAGCCCCCTTCCACCTCATGTGTTCCAGAAATTTCAGCTGCTTAAAGAAGCAGCTGAAATTTCTGGGACACGTAATGGGGAAGGGGGGCTTGGAGAATCAAATACTCAAAGGGCGAATAGAGAGAAAGAGGGACAAGGGAAAGCAACGCATGATATATCTAGTGGGCTTAAGCCATTGGATGACAGAACATGGCCTGCATGGAAGTGGGAAAGGGACGAAACATATTGATAGGGCAAAGTGGAGAGCCATAATCGCCTACATCCTTAAGAGACACGGCACATAAAACAAGAAGAAGCCCGAACCAAGTTTTGTCCGGTCTTTCTTTTTGGTTGATGTTTGATTCGAAATCTAATTATTTTTACGTATTTTTATTTTTATTTTTGAAGATAATAATGGTTTAATGACATAAGTTTTACTAATTAATCCATAGCTGGGGGTGAAGAGGTGTATTCATACCTTTTCCAAGGTCATTTGCGTGTCAGCGAATATAACGAAAAAAAAAATGGAATTAGAACTCGGCTTTCCAATTAACAATTCCGAGCCGTTATTCATTACACCACCTGCACATCCCGGTTGACAGCAGCTAGTATTTCCAGCAGTCACCCATCTAGACAATGAGCAGGCTCGACGTTGCTTAACTTCAGTAATTGAACGAGAACTGGTTTTTCAATGTAGCCGTAAGACTGTACTGTTGTTTTCCCCTACTATGAGCGCACACTGTCGTGGGTAATGGCGATTTTCTAGGTGAATACCTTACGTATGGCATAAGGCCGAAAAAGTGGTGCACCCAGTGAGAAATGAACTCATTATTCTGTAGTAATTGATCTAGCGAGACAAGCTTGCTAAACATTACACCACGTCGATGTACACTAAATGATCTCCTAAGCGTAGCTTAGATGTGACACAAGGCTGAAAGTGTGGAGCACCCGGTGACGATCGAACTCACTACTCAGTCGTAATTAATCTGACGAGATAAACTCGTTAACCATTACACCACGTTGGAGTTCCCCGGTATTTGATAATAAAAAAAAAATAATAATAAAACGGAGTCGAAAAATAGTTATTTGAAGGAAACTGTGGACATTTGATAGTAACGTTTTTGTTTGTTTGTTTTTTTTTAACATTTATTGAAATTAATTTACTATACGCGATCAGAATGCGAGCTGTGGCCCCACAACCGATGCTATTAATAAAAGGATTCTTTGCATTTGTTTTTAATATATCTCAATATCAAATAATGTTTTCCTATACTCGACATCAATTTATTGAGTTATTAGAGATTGGGGTTGAAAAGTTACTTAAAGAGGGCTGTCGAAGAGAGAGAAAGAGAGAGAAAGAAATGTAAAGAGAGATAGTGAGAAATAAAGAGGTAGAGAGAGAAGGAGTAAAGAAATATAGAGATAGTGAGAAAGAGAAAGAAAGAAAGAAAGAAAGAAAGAAAGAAAGAAAGAAAGAAAGAAAGAAAGAAGGGTAAGAAAAATAAAGAGAGACAGCAAGAAAGAGAAAGAAAATAAGAAATGTAAAGAGAGATAATGAAAAAGAGAGAGGTAGCGAGAAAGGGTAAAGAAATATAGAGATAGTGAGAAAGAGAAAGAAAGAAAGAGTAAGAAATCTAAAGAGAGACAGCGAGAAAGAGAAAGAGAGTAAGAAACGTAAAGAGAGACAGGGAAAAAAGAGAGACAGGGTAAGAAATATAAAGAGACATAGTAAAAAAGAAAGTAAAGAGAGAGAGAGAGTAAGAGATGTAGAGAAAATAAAGAGAAAAAGTGAGAAAAAATAAAAGTACAAAGGAAGATAGGAAGAGATAAAAATGAAAGAGAGAAAAATAAAATAGTGATAAACGATAGAGAAAGAGAATATATATAAAATGGAATAGATATAAGAAGAGTAGAAAGAAAGACAGAAAGAAAGAAAAAAGAAAGAAAGATAGAAAGAAAGAAAAAGAAAAAGAGAAAGAAAGCAAAAAGATGGAAAAAAATATAGAAAGTAAAAGAAAAAAGAAAGAAAAATAAAGAAAGAAAGAAAGAAAGAAAGGAAAAAGAAAGAAAAAAGAAAGAAAGAAAACGAGAAATAAATAAAGAATAAATAAAGAAATAAAGAAACATAGAAAGAAAGAAAAAGAGAAATAAATAAAGAATAAACAAAGAAAGAAAGGAAAAAGAAAGTAAAAGAGAAAGAAATGTAAGTGAACGCAAAAGATAAAGAATGGTGTAGACTGAACATAAAAAAATAAATTTAAAAACGAAAGAAAACATATACAGAATGATAGAAAGAAAAAAGAATAGGAATTAATAACGAATAAGAAAAAAGATAAAAGAAAAGAAAGATAGAAAGGGTGGGAATATTTAAAAAAGAAATAAAGCATAGAGAGAAAATAAAGAATGATATATTAAAATGGAAACAAGAAAAAAATGAAAGAAAGGCTAATTAAAAATGAAAAAGAATAGTAAAGAGGAAAACAAAAAAAAGAAAGCGAAACAAAGAACACTAGAATTGCCAAGATTAGAAAAAAAGAAATAAGGAAATATTAAAAACAAACAATAATAGCAACTACTAAAATTAAATAAAACAATAAAAAAAAAGAACGTAATTAAAAAGACAGAAAGCAAGGAAGAAACAGAGAAAATAATGACTATGAGGCCGGTTTTGAATTCAGAGTTACCTTCTCCTAGACCCGTTGCCATCCAAGGCTGTAGAACACAGTCTGTCCTGCTACTTACCTATAGCTAGACAGGGGGAGAAGATGATGATTAATATCTTTCCCAATGGTATTAGCACGTAAGTGAATGCAATGGATTTAACTGAATTTCGAACTCGGCTCTCCGATTTTTCAAGGCGAGCAGCTATCCATTACTTACTCCTGTAGGAAAATTCATTAAAACGAATGTTGAAAAGAAAACAAAAAGTGAGAAAAGAAAGAAGAATTAATTAGTAAGAATATGAAATATTGACAAAAAGAAAGAAAATAGATATAAAAAAGAAACAAGGAAGAAAAGGATGATTAAAAACAAAGAAAAGTATAGGAAATGGTTAAAAGAAAGAAAACGAATAAAGAAAGAATGAATGAAAGAAAGAAAGACAGAAGAAAAGAAAAAAGAAAAAGAAAGAAAGAAAAAAAAAGAAAGAAAGAAGGAAAATAAGAATAATTTTAAAAGAAAGAATTAGAAAAGTATAAAAGAATACGAATAAAACGACTTATAAAAAAACGGAATGAAAGAACGAAACAAGACAGAAAGAAAGAAAGAAAGAAAGAAAGAAAGAAAGAAGGAAGAAAGAAAGAAGGATTGAATGAATCAAGGAAGGAAGAAATGGAGGAAGGAATGAAGAAAAAAAACAAGGAATGAAGGAAGGAGGGAAGGAAGATATAAAGGAAGGAATGATTGAAGGAACGAATGATGGAAGGAAGAAATGAATGAAGGAAGAAATGAAGGAAAAAATAAAATGTAATGAAAAATTAAGAAATGGATTAATTTACAAAAAGAAAAGTTATTAGAAAGAAAGGAAACAAAAAAAAGGAAAGAAACGGACAATTAAAAGGAAAGAAAATAAAAGTATAGGAAACACTTAAAAACAATGAAACAAAAGAAAGAAATAAAGAAAGAAATAAAGAAAGAAAGAAAGAAAGAAAGAAAGAAAAAGAATAATGAAAAAATAAGAATAGCAAGAATTTAAAAAAGAAAGAAAAAAGTTGTTAGAAAGAAAGAAAAAAATGGAAGAAAAGTATAATTAAAAAGAAAGAAAATAATAGAATATGAAACGTTTAAATGAAAGAAAGTAAATGAAAGAAAACTTAGGTATATATTGAGAAAATTAAAATAACCTATGTTTCCGTATTAATGGGAAGAGAAGAATAAACTCATATATAAAATCAATGAAGAAGAAAAAAAAATGGCAGAAATGAAATTTAAATTAAAAGAGGGAACGGAAAAGAAAACTGGTGTCGAATTCAGTTTTCTATTAAGTTGTCTCTCGCCATGTCCCCCCGTTATTTAATCTTGCCTTCATTTTGTTGGCGGGTGAACGAAAAGGGGTTTCTATGCCATCGATGAGTTCATTTGATAAAGGATCAAGTACACCCTAGCTATGGTGAAGGAGGTGGTGATCTTGTAAGGAGGAGGAGCAGGAGGAAAAGGAGTGGGGTAGGAGGAGGAGGAAAGGGGTTCGGAAGAAAATCCTCGACATCTTTCCCTCCCTGCCAGGCATTTATCTGTATTTCACTCTATTCTGTGTTACTGAGGTCAGCCGGTGCTTAGAGACGTGCACTTCTCTAAGCAAGCATTTCCCCCTTTTTTCGTAAAAGTGCACAGTTATGTGCATATGCGCTCGTAAGTACTTCAAAACCAGGGATGAGATTCAAACAAGGTATTCGTTACATAGGTACGGCACAAGGTCACGTTCGTAAAGACCAGAAACAGTCTGTAATAAAAAAAATAAAAAACAACTTTTCCGTGTCATTTCACTTACATTTAGCTTTTACTAGAAACATTTTTTTTCGATAATTCTGAGATAAGGTATTATATGTTTATGATGTTTCGACTGTTGTACGCTCCGGCCTTTATCAGGATCTATCTATATTTCCGAGATAAGATATTTTCATTATACTATTTACTTTTTTCGGACTGTCATCCTCATCTTTATTGTCATATTCACGACGTTTCGGCAGCTGTACAATCCGGCCTTCAGTATTTGTCTATATTTCTGAGGTAATGTATTGTAACTATTTATACTATTTACCTCGTTCATACTGTTTTCTTGAGCTTTATTGTTATATTAACGACATTTCAGAAGTTGTACGTTCCGGTCTTCGTCAGGATCTGTCTATATTTCTGAGATAAGGTATTGTAACTATTTGCACTATTTACATTGTTCGGACTGTAGTCTTCACCTTAATTGTTATATTCACGACGATTCGGTTTTGTACGTTCCGACCTTTTTCAGGATATGCCTATATTTCTGAGATGAGGTGTTCTGACTATTTACACTATTTACGTTGTTCGGATTGTTGACTTCATATTTATTGTAATATTCCTGATGTTTTGCTCGGTTTACGCTCTGGCCTTCTTCAAGATATATCGATTTTTCTGAGATGAGGTATTATAACAATTTACATTATTTAGATTGTTCGAAATGTTGTCCTCATCCTTACCGCCGTATTCACGACACATGGCACTGTAGATAAAAGCGTTGGTTGAAGTAATCGAGTGACTTGATCCAAAGAGTTGTAAGTTCAATAACTGGTCACAGCAGAGGTGACAAAACCCTTGGATAGTTGAATTTCTAATTGAAAATAACTGAAACCGAGATATACGGAAGAGGCATGACATGTAGAACTAGAACAATCTACTCCGTTGGACGAAATAAGGGGTTCGGTTCGAAATCCCAACGTATTTCACCTGAGGAAGGCCGAGGCGTACAACAGCCAATACGTCGTGAATATGACAATAAAGATGAGGGTAATAGTCCGGATAATCTAAATTGTGTAAATAAGCAATTTTTTTCTAACCAATTTCCTACAACCATACGTTCAACACAATAATCAATGTATATAAAGGCGTACCTTATCATGGCGTCTATTAGATTCTTTTTGAACGCGCATTATACATCCATTGGTCAGGTGAGTCATACCCTCAGAGTGTTCAACACAGCCATCATTAACGAGTGATTAAAGTTTGATGAATGCGGTACTTTCTGGCATGGGTAGCAAGAGCTTGTGCAGCAATTATCAATAATCTTCTATTTTCACATTTCAGATCATCACATCTCAGCCATAGCCACTATGGAGCATTGTCCTTCATATTATATGTAACTCGCAAATTGGCCATATAATCTCAATATTTAGAAAATATTCCCTTCACTTTTCTCTGATTTTCTCTTAAATTCCTTCTTGCCATTCTCTGCAAAAATAGCCATCCTATTGTAATTTTGTTCGTATCTCCCATCGTTTTTTAGTACGACCGTTACGTCCTGTCAGTACCTCATAAATAATAGACTAATCCGCGTTTTGATCACGTGGAAAAAGAAGAAAAGACTTGGTTTCAGTGAGAAAATGAAAGAAAGAAAATAGTGATTTTCCAAGCTTTCTAACCATTACACCGCCTGGAAGAGCCCAAGGAAAGTAGGATAAAAATGGAGTGAGAAGCTGATAAGAAAAGATACTACACTTTAATCTCTGAGAAAGGTGACGGTAGCGATAAACGTTCAATCGGCAAAAGTCCAGTTTCCCTAAATTAAATTAAATAACCTCACCTGATGAATTATTTTTTAATCATTATTAAGAGAAATGTTCATAAGACGGCAATCTGACTAGGAAGAAATCAATAAGTAGGCTAAGATAAAAGTGTTTAATGTCTCCTGCCAATACCTCGGAAATTATGGACTATACCGTTTTGATCGCGTGAAAGAAGGGGAAAACACTACTTGGTTTCAGTAAAAAAAATGAAAGGCGTCCTGCGATGTAGAAAAATCTCTGCAAAATGTTAAGAGACAAAAGGGACAAGTTGAGAGTCTGTCTATATTTCTGAGATGAGGTATTATGTACAGTATTTACATTAGTCGGACTATTGTCCTCATCTTTGTCGCCATATTTGTCACAACGTTTCGGCCGCTGTACGCTCCGGCCTTCTTCAGGTGGTTGGAATTTCGGGTAGACTGTTCTAGTTCCATGGGATGTCAGTTTTCAGTTATCTCCTGCCAATTTTCAGTCTGAAAGTTCTCCACTGCCTTAACCGGGTATTGAGCTCATATTCTTTGGGTCTGTCACTGGATCTAATCAACGCCTTTATCCACTGTGCCATGTGTCCTTGAGGACATCTGGGTATGAACTTCTGGGTATTATAAAACCTAATGTTTTCAGCAACCATTTTTTACCAGGACTCATATTGCAATTTTGCTGTTATCATTGCATGTTTTTACCAGAGTTAATATTGCAACTTTGTTATGATTGCTTTTCTCTGGCACTCCTTATTACTGGTTCCCATATTGTATTTATTTCTATTCTTGGTCGGCTCAGGAGATTTTTGTGGCCTAGCATATGTGCTGATTCCTTAAGTTTACGAATTTTCCAATGATGTTCCCTATCTATGATCTCAACATTATCCCACAGGAGACGGTGATCTCCCTTCTCTCTCCATATGTGGTCATCACGCCTGATTTTTCTACTTCCCCTCATGTTACAGCTTTCTGGTGTTCTTGAATCCTTACCTTGAGGGACAACCTGTCTCTCCTTTATATTCCTTTTCGCAGCTGCACGGGATAGCGTACACACAGTCATGTTCTCCTCTGTGGGGGGGTCACTCGAGAGAGATATCCGTCAAAGTTGCAATATGAACTCTGGTAAAAACATGCAATGATAACAGCAAAATTGCAATATGAGCCCTGGTAAAAAATGGTTGCTGAAAACATTAGGTTTATAATAACCAGAAGTTCATACCCAGATGTCCTCAAGGACACATGGCACAGTGGATCTATGTTATCTATGAATTTTGCCTGCCTCACCTGTACAGTGTTCATACTCCACGGCACCATAAAGTCTACCATTCAGTGATGCTCTTGTCCCAGAATATGATGACAAGGCGATTACTCTCGAAGTGATTGTCAATGAAAATGGTCGTATCCCACATGACATTAACGCGTTGTATTTTTGCTATTATTATTATTATTATTATTATTATTATTTCCTTTGATTTCTTTGTATACACATTTCCTCCCAATAGATCCCGATAGACTTTGTGATGGATAGAAAGAAAAATAGACAGACAGACAGCTAGCTAGCTAGATAAAAACAGATTGAGATAAATAGATATTTTTAGACAGATAGATACCTAGATAGATATGACTAAACTAAGATAAATATATATACATATATGTGTGTGTGTGTGTGCGTGTATGTGTATACAGAGATAGAGAGAAAGAGAGCGAGAGTGGAAGAGATTGAGATAGATAGATAGATAGATAGATAGATAGATAGATAGATAGATAGATAGATAGATAGATAATCGCTCGCATGGTGTTATATAGAATAATAAGATCATCTTTAAAATATGTTTATCTGTATTAAATGTAGTAGGGGATTTAAGCGCACTTTTGATGCGTATTGGCATACACACACACACACATATATATATATATTATTCATGCACACATATATATATAAGAATAATATATATATACATACATATATGTGTGCGTGTGTGTGAGTGTGTCTTTGAGCGAATACGTGAACGCGTGTGTGTAAACCGTTTTGATTACAAGAAAAGACGGAAGCAAAAAGATCTGTCATGGACGCTGTTTGGAATGAATGACAAGAAGCAAGAGACAGTGAAGATCTAGACGAATTGCTGTTGGGTCCCTTCTGATTTCAAGTGGCATGACGCTATGTTAATTTCAAAGAGCACCCTACTTCGGTGGATCCTTGGGAGGCAGCATTAAATTTGGGAGAATAAAATGTTGGCGACCTGGATAACAAACAAATTAATAACGAGACCGACTCCTTCCATTTTCCTTCTGCTACCTTGGAATATTTTAAGACCCCTGAAAATATTTGGGCTTCTTCCGTTTTCTAATTAACACATGTACATGTAAGGACGGGCATGACCCCTGGGAAATAAAAGATCGGAACGAAGTTGTTAGTGCAAAATGGCGAAATACGGAATGTCGGGAAAAATATTAAAAGAAAATAACAAGAGTAAAAAAAAAAGAAAAGAAAAAGAAAAAACAGACAAAAACAATTTTTATAATTTAGCTCTTGGTGATATTTTATTTATCTCACATTTGCCCTGAGTAAATAAAACTATGTTCTGGGAAAAATATCATATTAATAAAAAAAAAAAAATAATGTTTATATCTTGAGAAAGATATAAATAAAGATTGCAGATCAAACATGGCGGTGTAGAGACAATGCAACTTATAGACAGACGGAATGTATGAAAACTATTGAACAAAGAATATTTATTCCCACACATCGTTATGACGAACGCAGAATAATATATAGAGTAAAAACAAGTAGACGTATTCTTTTTCTGTGCACCTTGTCACTTCAGAACGTAGGTGATCATGGCTCTCCACAATTTCCTATCCTTTGTAGCTCTGAATAAATTGTTTTTTTTGTTATTTCTGTTGTTCCGCCATCTATTTACTCAAGTTCATTCTTCTTTTTCTCTATGCCTTGTCTCTTTAGGACGTAGGAGATCATGACTCTCCACAGCTTCCTTTCCTTTGTAGCTCTTAATAAATCTTGACTTTTTGTTATTTCTCTTAAACCTTGTTTTCTTCTTCTTCTTCTTCTTCTTCTTCTTCTTCTTCTTCTTCTTCTTCTTCTATGTGCTGTGTGCCTTCAGGATGTTGAAGATTATGGCTCTCCACATATTCCTGGCTTTTGCAAATCTTAATAAATTTTGTCTTTTTGCTATTTCTCTTAAACATTGTGCAGCTATCCATTTAGTCAAGCGCGGTATGTAGCTTATGCATTTGTAACTCTTAACGTCAATCTATCCTGTGTGTATCAAATTTTACAAGCCCTCTTGCCATTGTTTAAATGTAAATAAAACTAAAAGGGTGTTTGAAGTATATAAAAATATAAAAACTGAAATCACACACTATATATATATATATATATATATATATATATATATATCATTTAAATATTCATGGAGACCTAACAGACATTATTCGTAACATACTTGTTGACAACACTAATATAATAGCATCATCTACATGCAAAAAAAGGCTAAAAATAATGAAAGCCTTAGTAATGAAAACCCAAAAAAAAACAACACTTAAAAATATTAACTTTGAACATGGACATAATATCTTGACCGTGTTATGAAAAATGAAGACATTTTATAAAACATACATACAACAAACTATTTCTTATTTTAACATTTAAATATATAATCCTTGAAAATGGCTAAATGGATAACTGAAAGCGCTCGGATAAAAAGAAAACTCGGACAGTTTTTATATAATTTATCATCCGAAACGAAAAAAAAATGATTAGATCGCATGAGAAATTGTATAAAAACAACTAAATAAAAACACCTTGTCTGTCGTTTTCAATGAAATGTGCATGAAAGAAGGATTTTCTAAAAATCCGTCCTGGGTACGACGCTAAACTACATCCGACAGTAAGGAGCGTTGGACCACATTATAATTGCTGTTTTTCCCAGATTCACACTGAACCAGGGCGTTAGTATCTTTTAGTTGTTCCAGCTTTTGGCAAATAATTAACTCACGAACTAAAATAAATAAGTTAGGAAAGGAAAGCAATATAGTATTATAGTAAAAGTACCAGCAATACAGTTTTATAGAAGCATTACCAACAATACACTTCTATAATAAAATGACCAACAAAACATTTTTATATTAAAATGACAGTTAATATATTTTATAATAAAAGATAAGACATACATTATTATTTTTTATTTTTTAATTGCTATGGTTAATCTCATTTTATGAAAAAGGAAACAAGTTTCCACTCCTCGTTTGATTTTGTAAGAATATTCGCCAAAAAAATTACATCTAATTATCATTGAATCCGGAAATGACGTAATTAATTAGAAAGTTTGAATTCTTCATATTTAGAGTTGGGCATTAAATAAACCATACCAGCAAATGAAGCAAGACAGAAAGTCTGGTCATAAGCAAGAGAAAAGGCTCAAGATGCGAGTTACGAGATGTTATCAACAAGCAGCTGTCGAGCGATTTGGGTGGTGTTTCAAGAGAAAGTGTGACACCGAGATCCGAAGTACGCATCCGACAATATTAACTACGAACAAGGCCACAATGTGCTAACTGTATTCGGAAGTTAAAAACATCACTACAAAACACTAAAACATACACATAATGTACACACTGAAGTAGCTGAAAAAGTGAATCATCCCTGATAATGGCTAAAGATATATCTGAAAGCGCCCGGAACTATAAAACATTTAAACAGTTTTTACACATTCTTTGTCCCCAAAAGAAAGCTCTTGTTGGAACACAATGAAAATTAAATAAAATGCTTAACCTTAATACCTTGTCTGTCGTTTTTAATCACACACACACACACACACACAGATATATATATATATAGGGTGGGATGTATAAATTGTCGTCTAAATGACGCAAAAATGAAAATAAAACTGACATTTCATTTTAACAGACATATTTACCAAAATAACACAAAATTATCTTGAAATACTAAAGAGTAAATTTTTTCAATAAAAACTCCATTGGATTCGACCAGGGCCACAAGACGACATCGGAATCTCTTGTAACTCTTCTGGGCAGTCTTCTTGTTTATGTTATTGAATGCTGGCATAATCCTTGCCTTCAGTTCATATTTGATGTTACAAGAAATTTTCTTGTTCTCTTGCTCAACTGGGGATTGCAGTCTGGGAAGTTAGGTGACCAGATTTTGTGAAAGCCATGACTGGGTTCTCTTGCTGGTGTGCCATGGTGCAGAGTCCTGTTGCCAGACATAGGGTCTCCTAGCAGCCACTCTCTTGGCCTAGAGCTGCACTACCTCCCCAAGGCACTTGATATAGTTCTCCATGTTTAGTATGAGGCCCTGTGTGAAGATGAATGGAGGCATAACATCGCCATCACTACTGATCACACTAAAAACCTTCGTAATCACCATTAGACTCATGGCAGTAGAACCCGTCGTCAGATTCGACGTGCTTTAGATTTAAGTCACGAAGTTTCATCGATTCAGCAATTATAAAGAGTACCTTACAAATGAAAATCCTTTTGAGACTGGTGAAACATTCTTATCTACAGAATTTCTTATCCTGACGTAATCACAGCAATTTCTAAAAGAAGTAATGGATTTTTCATTTATTCATTCGAAAGGTTTTATATATATATATATATATATATATATATATATAGTTAGTATACAATAAAATTCCAAATTATCTCATATGGGAATAGGCGTATTTCAACCGACGAATTTCGTCGGCTGAAATACGTGTATACCCTATATGAGGCCATTTTGGAGTTTATTGCGTACTGTTTATTTGCTCTGTAATAATAAATATATTGAACTCTTTTTGTGGATCAGTTTTAATATTTTATATTACTAGGTTTCAATTGAATTATATACCAACGGATTTATTACCTTTATACACACACACACACACACACACGCACACACACACACGCACACACACACACACACACACATATATATATATATATATATATATATATATATATATATATAGGAATATACATAATAAGAGACCATTATTTCTGATACAAATGTACGAACAACGGCCTTAATGAGCCTTCACATTGTAAAAGGTAAAGTCAACCTCTTATACATTTAATTTAATCAGACATACTAACACGGATAACAATAACAAAAATTACATTAATGTCTTGCACACAGCAGATGTGCGTGCTTTTCCCAACAGGGCATTTCTCGCCTAGTAGTGTAGTAATTGCCTCAAACCAAAACGATAGAATGCGATACATACCTCATTAAATAAACACAGAAAATTGCCCGTAAGGATTTCAACATTTTCTTTCCGTAATATTTAGTTATCAACATACCGTTGAAGAATGAGTTTCTGCATACGACTTTATGTTATGTTATTTTTTCGTTTTTTGCTTTTTTTTTTCAGGAACCAAGGGATTCATCATTTGGAATACGAATGCAACTCCTACAACGATATTGGTGGCTTTGACTTGTTTATATGGAACATCTTAAGCTTGGGGTAAGAAATTGATGACAAAAATTTCTCTTAGGGTTTTTTTATTTACGTTTTTTTTTTCTTCATTCCAAGTCTTTCTTCTTTCATCTCTGCAATGTCGAACTAATTAGGATTGAAGAAGATGATTAGGATTTTAACAAAAAGGATTGTAGTTGACATATATACCTTACTTTTTTTTTTAAGTGTCTTTAATTTACATTAGAGCTTCGATCATACGACTTTTGTTTTGATGTCATCTTAAACCATAAATATTCTATTTATCAATCTCTCTCTCTCTCTCTCTCTCTATATATATATATATATATATATATATATATATATATGTTTATGGCAGTATTGTTTTGTTTCCTAGACACTCACTAACAAAACTATCTCTCTACATATGTTCCTATCTAGGTCAATGTATACATATTTATCACTGTCGATTCCTCTATCTATCTATCTACATGCCTACCTACTTATCTAAATAGTCTGTCTTGTTCAGTCTGTTCATATCTATCACTGTCGATTTCTATATCTATCTATCTATCTATCTATCTATCTATCTATCTACTTAAGTATTCTATCTAGTTCACTCTATCTATAACTTTCTATCTGTTCATCATCATGAAGATGTAAACGTCCAGGAAGATGTAAACACAATTTGTTTAAACAACTGACAACAAGAATATCATAAAAGCCCCTATCCTGATGATCTTCATTCGATTAAAAAGCCAGTCAGTTATGTGCCATGTGTGTGCTTAGTTGATCATATATCTTTCGATACATGAATGGCGAGACAGATATTTGTCTCCAAGTAGGTTGCCGTTTCTTTCTGCAGTAGACCAGTTGCCATCCAAGGCTATAGAACCCGGTTTGTCCTGCTATTTACCATAGCTGGCGGGGAAAGAAAAGAAGAGGATTCAAACCTTTCCCAAGGGTATTAGCACGTAAGTGAATATAAAAGATTCGACTGGAATTCGAACTCGGCTCTCTGATTCCTCAATCTGAGCCACTATCCATTACTTAAAATTCCCAAGTGACTAAACACCAATCTGTTTATTTTTTTTTTTCCATTTTGTCATTAATTTTCTTAACATTGTTCTGGTAGATAAAAAATGTACGAGTGTCGTTCAAAAATTACTAAGCCTAACCCAGAAGAACTTGGAGAAAGAAGACATTTTTTTCACTATTTTTAATATCTTCCCCATTGACGACGATGCGTCAGCATTGCAATCTCATCACGATAGAATGTATCGTCCTGGTATATTTGTGCGTGTTGATCCGAGAACCACGTGACAATAGCCTTGTAGATTAAAACAGTAGAAAGAGACAGAGCAATGAATGAACAGTACTTAAAAAAAAAATAAAAGACTAGTGATCGTTGGACATGGACAACGGAAATATCTAACTCCATAAATTGAATAAAGTGTTCAATTCTAAATTCACTAGAAATTGATGAAGACCAAATGGCACAACTGCCGAGATGTTGTGATATTAACAACAAAAATGTTGATAATAGTCCGATATAAATAATCCGTATGGAAACAATAAAAAAAGAAGTGATTGTCCAAACGGAATAAGTCAATTTCAACTGTGTGATGTTATATAAAATATATATACATGTACACATACATATATAAAATCATATACATGGTTTTAATCATTTCACCGTAAAGGAAGCCAATAAAGCAATTGAAATTCAAAGGGTTACTGAGAGTGAAAGAAAAACGATAATACAATAAAAGTATAGGTTAGAAAGTAACCGAAAATGACGATTGAGACTGCATTTACATTTTTCAAATTGTTGGCAGAAAAGCAAGCTGAAAGGGAGTTCCATAAGCGTGTTGCGTGAGAGAAAAAAACAATTAGTACACTTCATACCTAAGGACCATAATGGGTATGTCCCCATTCATTAGAATACAATAGTAAATGCTGTACGTGGGGCTGCAATTGGAGATTCGTCTCCAGCTGTGCTGGTCAAATTCTCTGCCTTCGGGCAGATTCCCAGGCAAGGCTATGTCGAAGGGCAGAATCTTGTCTCGGGAAACAGCTACCCGACCCCGTTTTATACGGGGTCTAAGGGGAATTTTTGGCCTGCGGGTTCGGATATCGCAAATTAAATTCGGCCTTGTGCCACATCTGACCGCGTGGAGGGGTTAGTAGATATCTTGCATTTGAAGATTTGTCTCCACCTGTGCTAGTCAAACTCTCTGCCTCCGAGCAGAGAGGATCCCCAGACGAGGCTATGTCTCGGGAAACACGTTTTATACGGGGAATTTTTTGCCGACTCTGCGTGCTCGGATACCCCACTTTAAATTTGGCTTTGTGCCATATCTGAATACGTAGGGCAGCTGGTAGATATCCTGCAGTTAGAGATTCACTGTGGAATTCACTTGACTCACTTCTAGCAGTTGTCTACTTTTACGCACTGCAGGCGTGTCTTATATGTGTTGTTCTTGTCCTAAGTATTATCGTTCATTACCTACCTTCGTTGGATTACTCTATTCAGTAAACTTCCCGAGGTTACAACAGTTTCCGAGGTGGTACCGCAGAGGCGGGGGTTCTTAAGTTAGAAAACAGCATGTAGTTAGATGGTGCTAAGTCTGATGTGTAAGCGGGATGGGGTAGCTTCCCTCGGCGTTTCAACTTGATTGCTTCCTTCAGTTGTCTGATATAAAGTACTGTTCATTAATAGTTTTTCCCTTTTCCAGTTGGTCTCTCATGAGTACGCCTTCAGAACCCCCCACTCAGTACATATATACGTATATATATATATATATATATATATATATATATATATATATATATACAGAAACTATCACGTGGTTAACAGACGTTGCTTGCTTGAAGTTCTTTGTGGTGGAGAATCAGAGTGTTTCCTCTGCTTTGAATCTTCGAAATGGTAAACACAGGTTTCATATTAAGCTACGGAAAAAATTCTCAGTGTCAGTCTGGAAGAGGGTCAGATGTGTTTGGGAAATATCAATGCTTTTCAGATTTGGCATTCTTGGGGCCCATTTTGAAGACAGCTTGCACATCCCTGAGATTTCAGTCAAAACAGAACCGGAACTAATGTTTATGGACTTAGCTATCTGCTGGACGGTAAGACGTCTGTCATCCAAAAACCATATAGAGAATGGCAGCAACTTGTTCTTTGGTGGTTGAGGTTTTTGGATGTCTCGACCGAGGTTTTCAAATATTTCCCAAAAATCTGAAAATTATTTTTCTTGGTTAGTTATCGTTTTTTGCTATATAGAATTGACTCATATTTGGAAATAAAGTCTTTTTTCATTTGTTTTCTCTCCAATGACAATATTTCTCAAAATAAAATCGTAGAAAACTCTCAATTTGTATTTAAACCAACAAATATTGGCTTGCTTATTGAGAAATACTATTTTTGCAATAACAATCAAACCTAAAGTCTTTAAAAATAACACGATTGAATATACCAAGACCAAAAAGTATTTTCATCAAATCATTTGATGAACTAACAGCAAAAATAAACCTTCGTGAACATAATAACTATGGTAAAAAATTTCTCTTTCTTGACTGTATGTCATGTTCAAAGTTATTTAAGTCCCTTTTGATACTTCAGCATTCAAATGGCATTATCTGGTTGGAGTTTCTTTTCAACAAAATGCTCTGAAATGTGCTTGGTTTCCTTCCGTAGTGAATGGATAAAAATGACGAGATAAATTTATGATTACCAAAAAGAAGAATTTAGGGTTTCATTTTTTTGATGTTACCATAGTTATCAGGTTTACTATAGTGTATTCCTGATGAAGTGTATAAGTTAATTTGAATTTTGGCGATAAATTGGAAAAATTCGGTACATCTATTTTAAAATGTTTGAATCAAAAACACTTTCAGGTGGCTGAAATAAATTGCTCAGCCTACCTGAAAATTGACGGGTTTCTGTTTTTTTTTCTGACTAAATTTTGCGATCAGCCAATATCGTAAACTGATCATTTTTCCAAAAATGAGCAATTTCAGTACAGCAAAAATGGTTGCTAACCATGAAAAACTATGGCCATTTTCGGAATCAGCATTATCAAAACAGCTAAAAAATGTTTTGTTTCTTGAAACCCAAAATCGTGTTGACCAGTGTAATATACATTTCATTTTACAACCTTGATACATACACTATATATATATATATATATATATATATATATTCCATTTTATATTTATATTTATATATATATATATATATATATATATATATATATATATATATATATATATATATATATATATATATATATATATATATTTGTGGTCGATTGCCAAAGCACAACGTATCGAACGGTGACTTCACACACACACACACACACACACACACACACACACATACATATATATATATATATGTGTGTGTGTGTGTGTGTGTGTGTAAATATATATATATATATATATATATATATATATATATTTTAAATTGAGGAAAAGCTACAAAAGTTATTTAATTATAATATGCATTTCTATATACTTTATTCTATATACATTTTGCTACACGAGTTTCGGTTCTTGTGACCTTCATCAGGTGAAGACTTTTTATTTCCACATATTATTTAAAGGAATTAATTCTTTTCTCAATATCTTAATTCTTTTAACCATAGTCTTTTGTGTGTATGAGTATTCATCTGAATTCATGTTGTTCCTTTGCTTGAGGGGTAATAACACATTTAAATTTGGTCAGAGAAAGAGAAAACAAAGAAGATCATGCCTCGGTGTATTCCTTCATTTTTCCTCTATTCCTGTGTATTGTGCGTATTTGCCAGTATGTGCATATATAATCGCTCTCTCTCTCTCTCTCTCTCTCTCTCTCTCTCTCTCTATATATATATATATAATGTTTTAATACAAGAAAAATATCTTTGTATATTGAAGTAAATTAGTTGCTTTAAAGTTTGTTAATATTTGCCATATATAAACAAATTCTCAGATTTAACCATATCATTTCATCCATAACATAAGAAGAAAGACATACAATACATACAACCGAAACAAAAATATTAACACAATCCACAATAATATATTACATGAAAACAGATACATAATACTTATACCGACCAACTCTGTCATGTACACTATCCAGAAGAATCTATCCCATTTAAATAATCTTAAAATAGTCACAAACACTGCCAAAACCAATATGGATATACTCAGATCCTCAATCACTAATAGCAATAATATTTTTTGAAGCAGGCATTTATAAAATAAAGTGCTATAACTGATCCTCTCAATATATTGGGGAAACTAGCAGAAATTAAAAAAAAACGCCTCTATGAACACAAATGTGATCTCACAAAAAGAAATTAATTAATCCACTAGTCATACATAGAAATAAATTCAACCAAAATTTTGATTTTAAAAATGCTACTCATAAAAAATAATTCACTAAGAAGGAAAATCCTCGAGAGTGCCGCCATTGAATATTATCCAGATATTAATCCACGCCCAGGCTTTTTCCCAATATCATCTTTCATATATATATATATATATATATATATATATATATATATATATATATATAGTATTGGGGTCACAGATGATTATTCAAACATATATTGTTAAATATAAATGACAACGAGTGTTCATTATGTTTGATCATGAGTCGTTCTAAACTTCGTATTGTGGCTTTAATTTCGGGAGAAAATAAAAACAAATGTGTCCAACATTTGGATAGTTTTTTAATGTTGTTCCTTGATCTAAGCTTTCGGCTCAAACGAGCCATCTTCAGAGCGGTCATATGGACATTTAAACAAAGATATTCACCATCAAAGATGATATTCTGTCATGTTGACATAGAAGATTGCTATGCGACGATAACGGTTGGGGAAGAGCAGACGCAGATCACAAATCTACGATGCGAGTCTATGAAGTCTTGCGACGTGAGAGAACGAAATATTAATAACAGAACTATATGTCTAGAAACAATATAATTTTCAACTAGATACTTTTATATTCACGCATAAGCTTTTTGTGTCATTATTAAAGTGTAGTATATAATTAATTTCATTATTTTCCTAGGATCTGTGATGGATATATTTCCATTTATTAATTTCCTTTCGGATATTTTTGTCTTGTTTATAGTTAGAATGTATTTAGTTGCGATATAAAAGATTAATATGTGTTGGCTTAGTTAAAAAAGTATAATATTCTAGTATTAAAACTGCTGAGAGGACATCTTATTTAAAATAAAATTCAAATGTGGTTAGAAAATTAAAACCTGCGCACATAACGTAAAGTATCATCTTTCCTATATATATATATATATATATATATATATATATATATATATATATATATAGTATTGGGGCCACAGATGATTATTCAAACATATATTGTTAAATATAAATGACAACGAGTGTTCATTATGTTTGATCATGAAACATGTAAATAATACTGGTATAATACTTACCGTATACTTATCTTTGTCCCCTCCCCGTTCATATTTCTTGAAAACGAACAATGATTGTTGAAATATACGTACGGAAAATTATTGTGTGTTTTTTCTACAATTTAACGAATTTTTTTTAGGGAAATCACCCCAAGTAACGCGGGAGTGACACTAATACGAGAGGGGTTACAGAGGATTGAGAACAAGAGTAAAGAGGCGTGTTTGAGGAAATACTATAGAGAAGGACAGGGAACATGCTCAGGGTGTCAGATGTCGATTAACATTACACTTGAATATTTGAAGATTATAGTCATCGGGGAAGCAAGTAAGGGGAAAGTTCCACAGACGGGAAGTGCGGAAGATAAAGCTGTTTGAGTAGAAGAAACGGTCAGATTTAACCGTTTTGACAGTGAAAGGGTAGGACCGAGATGCCAGCCTGGTAGCTCGCTTAAATTCATGCAGTCTGGGAACCAGCGAAAGTAGCTCGTCGGAACAGTTGCCGTGAAAATATTTTAGAAGAGACAGAGGGAGGCCACAGCACATATGTGGGATAGCGATTGTAGACTAGATGCCAGAACAGGACCTATTATCTTGCATATTCGTCTCTGTACTCTGAGAGCACCAGACCATATATGACAGCAATATTTCATGCAAGGGCGGATGGTTGATTTATAGATTTGAAGGATGACGAGAAAAAAATTCACAGACGTAATAAACGAAGAGAAAATTAATAAAAAAAGAAAAAATGGAAATTAGGACGTCTGATCGGAACTGGTGCTATAAAAATAAAACAAAAACACATATAACTTAGTGCGCATGCACGACAGAGTTCAGGGTCAATCTGGACCAAGCGGTTTCACTCTGCGTTCTTTAGCCTTGTTACCATAGCAACAATCCCGATACTTTTGATAAAGCCTCGTATAATGTTTCTATCTCCTTTTCTCTTTCCGTTTAATCATTATTAAGTTCTTCTTTCTTGAAGTCTGCCTCTTGAATCATAGTCTCTTCTCAATCATTTACGTTGTATTCTTTTATTTCTTTGTGGATACCACCATCTTTTCTTTTCTTCCCTTTTTTTTTACGTAATTGCATTTTTTTTATACGTTCCTCGACTTTCCTTCCCTTCTGCTCATTCGCCGATTGCCTTTTTCTCAACTGACACATCATCCTTCTTTTTCTTTATTCTTTAGATGTCATTAATAGTGAATAATTCTTTCATCTCCAATGCTAGGAAGGTAAAACCAATCACCGGCTTTAGTAAGATAGTAATCTCCCGGTGCTCAAATCAGGCCCCGAAAATGTGCTCATTACGAAAAAAGTGATTCCTTTTTTTCTGTATATATAACTACCTTGCGGCTTTTTTAAAAATCTTTCGACGCCATATTGCTTTTTTGTGCATTTTTTGCAGGTTTTTGCTGCAATTTATTTTGCATCTTACGTACGTTTTTAGGCTTTAATTGGCTCCTTTTTCTGATTTCCTTATTGTTTGCAAATTCGGTATTTTTTGTAGTTTTTTATTTTTCATCTTTTAATCAGTTATTAAGATTCTAACATATAATTCTACATTTTTTCATGTTCGCCATTGTTGTCTTAATATTAATAGAATGTTCCGACATTTTCTTTTCATGATTCTAATGGATTAACAATGACACCTCTCTTCTACAAACCTGAACATGTACTTTAAGAAAATGTCTGACAATATTCCGTAAAATACATTATTAAAGCAATCTTAGAGACACATTATTCTATCGATCTATCTATCTTAGTCAGTTCATATCTATTTCTCTATCCCAGTCTGTTCATATCTATCTATCTATCTATCTATCTATCTATCTATCTATCTATCTATCTATCTATCTATCTATCTATCTATCCCAGTCTGTTCATTATCTATCTATCTATCTATCCTAGTCTGTTCATATCTATTTCTCTATCCCAGTCTGTTCATATCTATCTATCTATCTATCTATCTATCTATCTATCTATCTATCTATCTATCTATCTATCTATCTATCTATCCCAGTCTGTTCATTATCTATCTATCTATCTATCCTAGTCTGTTCATATCTATTTCTCTATCCCAGTCTGTTCATATCTATCTATCTATCTATCTATCTATCTATCTATCTATCTATCTATCTATCTATCTATCTATCCCAGTCTGTTCATTATCTATCTATCTATCTATCCTAGTCTGTTCATATCTATTTCTCTATCCCACTCTGTTCATATCTATCTATCTATCTATCTATCCCAGTCTGTTCATTATCTATCTATCTATCTATCCTAGTCTGTTCATATCTATTTCTTTTTTCCCAGTCTGTTCATCTATCTATCTATCTATCTATCTATCTATCTATCTATCTATCTATCTATCTATCTATCTATCCCAGTTATCTATCTATCTATCTATCTATCCTAGTCTGTTCATATCTATTTCTTTTTCCCAGTCTGTTCATATCTATCTATCTATCTATCTATCTATCTATCTATCTATCTATCTATCTATCTATCTATCCCAGTCTGTTCATTATCTATCTATCTATCTATCCTAATCTGTTCATATCTATTTCTCTATCCCAGTCTGTTCATATCTATCTATCTATCTATCTATCTATCTATCTATCTATCTATCTATCTATCTATCTCAGTCTGTTCATTATCTATCTATCTATCCTAGTCTGTTCATATGTATACTTCCCAGTCTATCTATCTATCTATCTATCTATCTATCTATCTATCTATCTATCTATCTATCTATATCAGGTTGTTGACATCTAAAAAAGTGAAAGTTACAGATTGGGGTGAAGCATTTGTAAGATTTCTCATATAAGTTACCTTGCCCTATGCCATTTTATTGTTGTTGTAGATGTTTAAATGTCTGTGTCATTCTTTAAATTTTATTCTTATATTCTCTCTCTCTCTCTCTCTCTCTCTCTCTCTCTCTCTCTCTCTGTCTCTTGTCTGTTGGTTTAGACTGTGATGTTTTCACCTACCCTTCATTGTGATGTCTATATTTTGTTCTCCCCATTGCCATTAATTATAAAAAATCCTACTTCATCCCCCCCACAAATAGTTTCATTTAGAATGTTTTTACCTTAGAATGTTGCTTATTAATGCTAAAAAATGATGCAACAAGGGTGTATTACATCCTATCATCCCATTTTTAGTTGAGAGTAGACATCTGAACTTATGCTAAATTATTATTTAACATGAATTCTTTCCAATTTTTTAAACAGGTTAATAGAAGTAGATAGGCTCACCTATCATCCAACCTGAACTCCTTCCATGTCTATTGAACAGGAGTTAAGGTTTATCCCTTGTTCCTTATTTAGGATATCGATTCTCTTTCTTTCTCTTACTAGGCCCACAATGATTTAACTGTCTTAACTCTTTGGTAACCAGACTAAGGGTAAGACGATAAACTACATCCGCGTCCTGGGTAAAACGATAAACTGCTTGCGACATCAAGGCCTTTGATCAGAAGGTTTTGAGGAGCGTGGAACCACCTCTTGTTTACTGGTGCTCCCAGGTCCACCCTGGCCCTTGGTGGTGGCACCTGTCGTGGTCCAAGCTATGAGCAAATATTTACCCACCCCAAAAGGGCTGAAATAACTCTGAAAGTATAAAAATAGGTGTTAATACCGGAAATACATTTTTGGAAAAATTATTACCAGAAATACTTTTTTGGAAATGAAAAATATTACCAGCAATACATTTTTGAAAAATAATATTACCAGTAATAAGTCTTATCGCCATTAAATAACCCATTGAGGTTGATAAACTGTAAAACAAAGAAAACCAAGCTAATCAAACTATCCTGTGGCTATGACTTTCCATGGTGTGGGTACCGAGTTGACAGTTTGCTGGCTGCTGCTTCCAGCTCGTCGTTAGCAGCCTGAACACTTTAGAAGCTCCTAGAGAAGCTGCTTCGATCAACAGTCGAATAATATCGGGGTACCTACAGTACCATGTCGCGAATGGGTATGAGTGGCATATATTTCTAATGAGCAACCACATTATGTTCTGCTCTCAGGCACGCACTGGATGGTTCGCATTGACTTGACGATAGATAGTGACAATGGTTTTTTTTTTTAAATCTCTCCTAAAAATATATCTTATGGAAATCACAACAAAAAGAGAAAAAAAACTAAACCAGCTACCAAAAATCACCTATTCGTCTCAATCTTCCTTTCTCCAATATTTTTGGTATCCATTCCAACTTTTGCAACGTAGAATATTTTTTCCTGAAAAAGTCGCTAGATATCTTTGCCCTCTGTGAAACCAACCGGAATTCTTCCATTGCTACCAATGTATTCCTGGTTTTAGAGTATCTTCCTTTTTCCCGAATAGATTCCAATATTCACATGAATGATTTTGGTGTTTACATTCGGGATAATCTTCTGATGGTCAGGGAATTTTCTCTCGAGGCTGCTGACTATTCTTTCATGTGATTACGTCTTTCGCTACTAAACACTGTCAGATATGCCTTTCTCCTTTATCGTTCCCCTTCCTTCCAAATACTGCAGTATATTAGATGCAATAGTTGACAGTATAGAGAAGGCAATTTCTCTCCATCCGTCTGCGAACATCTTTCAGTGAATTTAATTCTGACTACGAGAAAAGTGAAACATTCCAAAGGTACTGATGTTGCCATTCGTTTTCTGATTCTTTCCAGTTGTCTAAGAAGTTTCTGGATGTTAAGATGAAATTCATCAAGAAAGTCGCCGTAGTTTGTTTTAAGTGACCCAAGAAGAAACCTTAGTGCCGCAATTTTCAGTTTGAAGGTTAAAGATGTTATTCCAAAGGTCGTCACTAGGAAAATCCCTGAATAAGTCTCAGTCAGAATACAGATAACGGAAAGAGGT